ATCTATCTATCTATCTATCTATCTATCTATCTATCTATCTATCTATCATCTATCCATCCATCCATCCATCCATCCATCCATCCAGTGTAGTGGTGTCAGGGTCAGCTTTCTGACCCTTTCACTACTAATTATTTAAATATAACGGGTTCTCTCTTTTTCGAGTTAAATTAAGGTCATGTGACGAGATAACTGTGATGACTGTTTAAATCAGTGACATGAGACATTAATTTCCTTTGACCCATCAGAATAAATGTGGTCATTTATTTAACAGAATCAAAATTTAACATTAAACATGTACAAGTGATTAGCTGATCTGGTTTTGATTAATAAAACTTGGCACGTTTTACTTAATAAGACAACGAGACATTTCTGAAGGCATTTAGATTACTGGCAAAATAGAAGAGTTTTAAAGGAAGGAATGAAGAGAAAAGATGGGTTTAGGGGGGTGTCTGTTCGGACAGCAGAATGGCACGCTCCTTTCAACACCAGCTCAAAACCTCCGGTACACTTGGCGCGTCACGACTCGTTACCTTTGCAGAAATTAATAGGCTCCGGTGTCGGGTTCATTTCAACGCTACCTTCCAGCGTCTCCAGTAAGAGCGGCTGGCCATCGTCAGGAGTCGTGTCGCTTACTCCGTTCAACAAACATGCTCATCTCCCGGGTGGATTCACAGCAAGCTGTCAGTCCGGCAGAGTTTCCACTCAGATGTGGGAGAATCCATCAAAGACTCAGAAGACTGAGTTCAAGACTAGACTGAAGACTCCAGGAAGTGTGGACTTTTAATGAGTTTTCACTTCCGGTCACTTCAGGACTTCCTGATTGGTTGAAACAACCAACAGGGGGTGGTTCTAGTGATGTCAGAGGGTCACTACAAGTCAAGAGGACAGCAGGAATGTTTTAGGAACTTTTAGTACATACAGAAGAAATGTTTTGAAGAAGTGAGAGCAAGCAGGTGCCAGTTGTTCTTATTTACTGTCTGCTAGGTTTAAAAACAATCCACTTTGTTCTAAAAACTTCGTTCTGACTGTCTCTGACTTTCGACCGACATCACTACTTCTCATTCACACAGAAGATCAAAATGCATAATTATTTTGTTAATAGACATTTAACTTGATTTCTAATTTAAATGAGGATTAAAAACAATAATCATTAATACTGTTTCACAGTTGATTTAAAATGAGTGGTTCAACATTTAGAAATTATATGAACTAAACACACTTTTGATTTATCAAGATATTGTAAAATAGTAATGATAATATAAAAGAAGAGTGTTCTTTCAATTGATTACTTCAGGATACAATTAGACAGTCTCTGGATGAGCTCATTTGTATTTCTGGATTCAAATCAATGAAATAACATTTCCTGTCCCATGAAGGTTTTCAGAGGCAGGTTTTGGTCGGAGGCCGAGTTCACTACAGTCCCCCCTTTGGAAATCATCGCCTGTCCATGTGGATGAATTCCAACATGAACTTACGCCTCCGAATGTCCTTGAGCTTGATGTAATCCAGCAAGAGGAAAACAAAAGTCAAAGAAGGTAATCCCACAACAGTTTAGGTAATTCCACAATGTTGTTGGTAATTCCATAATGTTGTTGGTAATTCCATAATGTTGTGGGTAATTCCATAATGTTGTGGGTAATTCCATTGTAGCAATGCTTTAACCCCTTGGAAACAAAGTCTGTAATCCATTGGAAAAAGTCATATAATCCACAACAATTGGAGGTGTTGATTGATCAGCATGCAGAGGGGTTCCCTCGATTGAACTGCAGCGGCGACCACTGGATGGAGATTGGAGACCCACGTTGGAGTTGTAGGTCCCTTCAGCGAAGGTTGCTGCTGGTGGTTCCCAGTGGGTGCCATTCTGGTTCTATGTGTTATACATTTATGTGGTTTTAGTTGGGCTTATGAGTGGGACTTTACATAAGACCTTAACCTACATGCACCTGGTGTGTAAGCTATCATGGTTTAGATCAGCTAAAGTTACCAGTTTAAAGGGTGGGTCATGCTGAAAAATTTATATATAGGGATTTATACCTATAGAAGGGCATTCCAAACTATTTTTCCATTCCTAACTTGGTTCAAGTTAGATTTACATGGCAAAATATAGTTTGGTTCAATTGTCTGTTGTCCTTTTAGACGAACGACTTGAGGTTTGGTTTTTTGGTTTTCCCCTAAATGTTTTTGGAGTCTATGGCGAGACTCAACTGAAGGATTAGCTACCCCGCCCCCCCCCCCGGAATAGGATTGTTCGAGTAGGTTCGGCTTGAGCGTCGTAAGGTAGCATTAATCTACATTGACTCCTCAAAGATTGAATTTTAACAAATGAACTGCATGTTGGCACAGTTAAAGTCCTTTTAGTCTCTAACTAAAGTACACACAAAATTCATTCTTGCTGGGGGTGTTCAGAAACAATACCAAAAACCAATTAAACGATGTCTCAACATCGACAAAAATAGTGACTAAGCAACCAGAAAAACAACGTTTCAACATTGTCAAAAGTAGTGATTAAGCAACTAGGAAACAACGTTACGGTGCGTCACTCACTCTGACTGTCAGATTTGATCACATTATCGCGTCTGGTAACATTACCCTAACTAACGTCACCCCCCTGTGGTCATGGGGGACCACGAACACGGGTGAGGACGTCGATCCATGAGCAAAAGTTAGGAAGCCCTTGAGTAGTTTTAGCTGTTTGCGCAGCTGAAAGAAGGCTTTAAGGTCTGGATTGGAATCCAGGTTGGCTTCGGATGGAGTGTTTTTCTCTGGGTCAGTCAAGTACAGCATTATCGAGTTTATCGCAGGATCCAACTTCTGAAGTTGGATGATGTCTGGGTCAGTCAGCACGGGTTGTACAGAGACTGTGTTGTCAACCGGCTTGGCTGTAGCCTGTGCACGTGTGACTGCCATTACCTCGGCTGTAGGTTGTACTGGCAGAGGTGCGAGCAGCCTGGAGGGGTCAGAGGACCACTGAGGGACGTCCACAGCTCCGTCATTGATAGCTGGTTTATCTGTCCCCGGCGACAGTACAGCATCTTTGGTGTGGGATCCTTGGATCTCTACACCTTGAACTACCAATGGTAGGTAGTATCCGGTGGGCTCTGACTGTCTCAGCTCAGACAGGAGGCTTTCTTGTTCAGTCAGAGTTAGGTTCACCAGTTGGATCTCTTCGGTTCCACATGCTTTTGAAGGAGTACTTACCGGGACTGTGCTCTCTGCTGAGAGGTCCTCGGTGCCTTCTGCAGTGCCTGCTGTTGGGCAGTCTGTGACTGTCTCAGAAGGCATGAGTATTGGCAGGGGTTTGCTCACTCTGGCCCACATTGTCTGTTCACCATGATCTATAATCGTGTCAAAGCGATTTATAAAATCCTGGCCGACCAAAAATGGGAATGAGTCAACCGGAGACACATGTACCGGGTGGTATAGTGTCATCTCGCCAACCTGCATGTGAACCATAGCTATAGCTGTTAGGGTTGTCCTCGTCTCTGCAGCCCTATAGCACGTTCTATGAGAGGCATTTCCCTGTGAACATTGTTAGCGGCAGTCCTGAGCTCCTCAAACAGTTTGGCTGACATAATAGTTATGTCGGCTCCACCATCCAGTAGGGCTTCATGTGTGACGACCCCTTCGAGTGTGATCGACAGGTAAGCTTTTTTAGCGACCCCCTTTCTGATCAGATTACACAGGAACCTTGTAGGTTTTGGCCGACGTTTCTTCTTACGTTTACCTTTACCTGTGTAATCTCGGTTTTCCCGAACCGTTGGTGCAGTTGCTGCTGCTCCTGGGAGTTCAGCTTTTGACGGGCCTCCGTCATTAATGAGATTACCCGCTCACTGTGTGTTGAGGGGCTCTCATTGTTTGAAACAACAAGGTCCTGGTGGCTGTCCGTGACAGCGGCAACGTTGTTGTTTGTGCCACCCTGGTTTGACTGAACCGTTAGCACAGCTATTGCTGTGTCTGATGTTTCAGTTTGTGATGGGTCACCGTCGGTGACGTGTGATTGTACCCCCCCCCCCTTTTCAGGTGAGGGCGTGTCAGAGTTTACAACAACAGCGTCATTGCTTTGAAAAACTGGTCATGACTCACATCAAAACAACCATCAACATCAACGAGGACCCTCATCAGTATACCGTGAGAACCGATCAACAGAGGATGCAATCTCCTCTGTGGTCCACACTGCGCTCAACCACCTGGAGCAGAAAAACTCTTACGTCCGTATGCTCTTTGTGGACTTCAAATCTGCCTTCAACACCATGATCCCCCAAACCCTGATGGACAAACTATCCACACTAGGACTAAGCCCCTCCATCTGCAACTGGGTACTAGACTTTTTAACAAACAGACCACAGTTAGTGAGGATCCACAACCTCTCCTCCTCCACCATAACCCTCAGCACTGGCTCTCCTCAGGGATGTGTGTTGAGCCCCCTCCTGTTTACTCTGCTCACGTATGATTGTGCAGCTACCCATCCAGGCTGTCACATTGTAAAGTTTGCAGATGATACAGCGGTGGTGGGATGCATCACAAACAATGATGAGTCCAGCTACAGGCAAGAGGTGGAACACCTGGAGAGCTGGTGCAGAGAGAATAACCTTCACATCAATGTGAAGAAGACAAAGGAGATGATTGTGGACTTCAGAAGGAACAAAAACACCTACACCCCCCTGAACATAAGAGGATCTGCGGTGGAAGTGGTCTCCAGCTACAAGTACTTGGGTGTACACATGAATGACAACCTCAGCTGGAGCAACAACACCATCAGCCTGATCAAGAAAGCTCATCAGAGACTCTACTTCCTCAGACGGCTGAGGCGAGCTGGTCTGGGAAGCTCAGTCCTCACCTCCTTCTACAGGTGTGCA